TACATATTATATATACATATATATGTGGATATGCGGGATCTGTGTGTGTGTGGGCGCACACGTGCCGCCTGTATGATTGTAGCCTATGTACATGCACAGTATGTCAACCGTCTGCGTGTCCGTACATGCGCACGTGCGCATGTGTGTATGCATGTATGCATGTGTGTAGGACTTGTGTGCCGGTTGGTCAGCCAGTGCGAGTCTACGTTTTCACGAACTCTGCAGACTGAGTCTACTTGCATCTGCCAGGCCGCCTCAGAAACGTGCACGGTCTGCCAAACCTGCAATTCCTGAGAAACATTGGCATTGGCCGAGCGCAGGTTTTCTGCACTTCGCGCAGTTGAAACTCGCAGCTGCAACTGACGAGCCGATGTGACGCACATGCTCGGAGTGCAGGCTCAATGCAGGACTTCGCATGTGCTAAATAGCAGAATCAGCTTCGAAAGATCTACATCACAACTGCGTGCGCGCATGAGGCAGGGAACGTACCTGCCCCACCCCATGAGCACCACGAGTGACAGCTGCAATGAAGCTTGAATCTGAAAGGGCATTTCTGCTAGCTACACTCACGTTTGGACACCTGGAAAAATAAACGACGCTAGATGGGCCCCTGCGACAGCACGAGCTGCATGTCCGCCAAGGCTGCGTGCAAGTCACATGCGGCAGGTTGGGAAGTGCCCTGCTGCGCCCGACGAAGGGACGAAGTGGATGTGATCGGGGCCCTATGCTGGATGACGGTCCGGATGCAGCCTGCATGAGCACTTCCCGCACCTCGTCTAAGGACTGCCAGGGCGCTTAGAGTACCGATTCGCGAAGTTCGTGAATTCTTTGCGACTGTGGAGAAAAAGATGTCAAAGCCTGCCTATGATGTTTAAAGCACAACCTGGAAACCCGGGCTGTACTTTGCAAGCGCCCGAGCGGTCTGCAAACTGATATCCGGAAGGCCGCTGCAAATTTAATCGCCAGAGGCTCAAGAGTGCCGGGGCGTCTTCCTCAGAAGCCAACTCACGTGATGCAATCCAACCGATTCTGGCCTATCTACAGACCTCGTCCCATGACGCAAAATCGCACGCCTTATTCGCACAGACTTGTACATGCCCGCCCTAAACCTAAACGCTAAGCCCTCCTTCCAGTCCAAGAACGTGAAGACCCAAATACGTTCCGACGTCTGCCTCCGCCATTCGTCCCAAAGTCCCACGAAAAACATAATGCGACACAGTATAATCAGGGGCGTCATTCAGAACAGGGTCTCTGGGGGGGGGGGGGGGGATCTTTTCGTATAAAAATATGATGGCGCCCTATTTAAGGAATCCAGATGTCTATATTATGACTTGTCGCCCATGTAAGCTTCGCTGCATAAGGCACCGAGTCTTGCGATGAAGCCTACGAGAAAAGACGTGGAGTGCTAGCTACCTATGAAGTATGTAGGTTCCTGCCACTGGAAAATACAAGCAGTACAGTGGCGCGTTCTCCATGGATGTGGGCTTCCAGGGAAGGGTGTTTGTGTCATACGGGGGGCCTGAATAATCAATCACAGTATTCCCTGCGGCCTCTGTGCGGTCATGCTCTCAGACGTGCCAAAATCAAAAGCCCTTATGCTGGCTTTTTGGGGGGACGTCGTTAGACCAGAAAACCAATCCCTTTTTGCCTTAACCAGGTGCTCTCACCCGTAAATCCTACAACCGAGACCTGAAACCCAAAGTAGTACACCCTACTGAAAATCTAAACCCTAAACTCGATGTTATACACCCTATGTCACTTCTAAAGCTCTATAGTTTAAGTAGGGAGTATGGGTTGTATTACATTGGGTTTATGGTGAAGATTTCAGTAGGGTGTATAACATTGGGCTTCGGGTTTCAGGTGCAGGTTTTTGAAGGGCGAGGGCACCGGGTTTAAGGTATTGGTTTTCGGGTCTACCGAAGTCCCAAGCAGAGCTAGTCAGTATAGAACTAGTTTTAGAAAAGGGCGTTATTGAAACCCGGTGTAAAAATTTCATAAACCCCCAAAGTCATCTCGACGAGGTCCCAGCGTGGAGTCCGAGCGCACACTGCCCTGCGAACGAAAGCCGTTCCTCGAGGAGAGTGCGAAAGGCTCCTTGGTTTAGGACGGTTTCGGGTTCAGGGTTTGTGGGGTGGGTTTATCCAGTTTCGTGTTTCGTCGTTCTTTTTGGGCAGAGACTTTTTCTATCTGCTTTCTGCATTGAGGAGTTCGGGCTATGTTGCGGATGATTTTATGCGCTGGATTAATGATGGACACTGTAGTCGTTTCAATTTCAGGGCCTCCGAAGCATCTGTATGACCATCGCGAACAGGTGCTTCGTCGCAAGATTGACAATGCACAACCGTCCCGAAGCAGCACTGTCGCAACCTCAACCTCTTGCGTAGAAGCCGAATGCTGCAGCTAAGATTCCGGAATCGTTATCCCGTTCGAGGGACCCCCGGCGGACCGGAACACTTTCGCCTGATGTCGGGATGCGAAACCTCTGTCTACAAGGCCTCCCATCAAGCTATCCTCGCTCCAAAGCGAGGAATGCGCCACCTGAACCCTTGTCTGTTCCGAGGGCTTCATGGCTCGCGAGTGTAGACTGGAGCTGCTGAGGCTTGGCTTATATATATATATAT